TATGACGACGCATTAATATACTATATTATTGCGCAGTTTCAGTGATTTGTAAAACTCTTGTTAGGTGTTTTGAGGGTTCCAATTTACACATATATCATGGAATTTCAAAAATAATAATTTTTTAACCTCCATTTTTCTCTCCACATGACGTTTTCGAGTTTAAAGAAAAAAACGCAAAAAAAAAAAACATATATCATGGAATGAAATACGAGAAATCAAAACGTAAACAAAGATGGATGATAAGTGATGATGAAATGACTGGGGGAAGATTTATGTCATTAAAACGTAAACTTATATTTTATCATTAAAACGTTTAGAATATGTTATTTTTAGTACTTTCCTCCGTTCCGGTTCAAGTTAGACTTGTTTTCCTTTTAAATTCATGCCAAAAGAATAATCTCTTTATGAATCCATGATTTTCTTTCACACCAAATGAAAAATAAAAAATGCAGCTCGAGAGCTCATATAAATAAACTCTGTTAAATAGCCATTAACCTAGAAGAAGAAAAAAAAAACACTGTTAAATTGGTAAACTTTAGGGTTTAGTATACAAAAGAGATTTTTTGGGAAGATGAGAATGAGATTAGGGCTCATCATCATCATTTTCACAAGTTTGGTCTTAAAAATAACTAAAGACTCAGTTTTTAAGTTTTTCAGAAAACAAATCCTCAAAAACAATTTACCTGTCAGCAACATAGGAGATGGCTTTGTCAGTGCAGTGCTTGACTTTGATACTCGTTAAGCCACCATCACTCTTGTCTGCAAAATGCTTGAGAAGGGCGTCCATTTTGTCCTCCATGTCCGTCCAGTCGAACGGCACAACGGTGCGACCTCCGACGTCAAAGACACTGAAAACAGATTTGTTTCCAGCGTCCGTCCATGGCTTGCAAACTTTCAGTGGACCCTCCAACATCTCCTCCACAGTAAGGTTTTTGAATACATTGAACAAGCAATCAGGTGTTAAGTTAGCCCAGTCACTAGGAACATCGGATCCCTTACTTCCCTCTCCACTCATTTTCTTTGCAATGTGTGTTTCTAACTCTCTTAGTCTTTGTGTTTTCTTGCTAAAGTGTTTACTCTCTCTTTCTTGAGAATCGACTACCTTTATATAGAGACTTTGTGACACATTACAATATTACTAAATTGTTTGGCAAGTTTCTGGAAATTGCAATTTTAGACCACGACTTTTTGTTTTTGCAATAAAAGACCTTGTGCTTTTTTCAAAATGTTTTATTAGCTTAGGGCAAGACCTGAGTTGAATTAATACTCTTAAAGAAAGTAGTATATGTATCAAATAAATGTACATCAATTTTGTTTTCAACTACCCGGGCCCGTATGTACCCACATTATTACCGACCATAGTATTATCTTATATTTTACATATTAGTATTTACAAAATTATGTTTAATCTTATATAGAACTTTAACATATACTAAAACTTTCTGAATACTCTTAAAGAAAGTAGTATATGTATCAAGTAAGTGTCAGATATCATACATCAATTTTTGTTTTCAACTACCCGTATGTACCCACATTATTACCGACCA